TACCACTAAATGTATGGGGCTGATTTGGCAACTAAGAACATCTTGGAATTTCCTATTTGAAAGGAACCTTGGACATAGTTCAGTCATCATCATTGTTTGCCTCTCTGTTTTATAGTTGAGAATCTTGGGACTTAGAATCTAAAATTTAAAAAAAAGCAAAAAAATAATACACTAAATAACAACAGAGCAGGGATAAGAAAGAAGGGCTGAACAGAGTCTTCTAATTCTCATTACTGGGATTGTTTCCACTAACCCCAGTTTCTTCTCTCCACCTCATTTTCCTAAATTTCCTTTTTCTTCTCTTGCAATACAGCCATGCTTCATTGTTAGCTGTTCTTCCTGTCATAAACTGGAAATTTTAAACACTTGGTACCAAGTCCTTACATGCTTTTTTTTTGAACCATTGCTGCTGTGTTAATACAACTAGAACCAGTGTTCTCCATCTCAAGTTGATGATTCTACTGTTGACCTCAGGGTTTAGGCCAAAAATCTGGATATCACCCTTGATTCCTCACATTCTTTTCTACCCTACATCCAAATCATGAGCAAATACTATCATTTATAACTTTACAGTATAACAATTTCTACCATTCCTCGTCACCTTGGACATAGCCACTCCAACCCTGTATTGTCCAGTAGAACTTCCAACCTCAATGAAAATTAAATGTTTTATACCTGTGCCATCTGAACTTCATGTGGCTATTGAGTGTTTGAAATGTGGCTAGTATGACTGAGGAACCAAAATTTTTATGATATTTTATTAAGATATAATTTATATCTATGCAAAGAGTATAATTTTCTTGTTTTTTTGATATTTATTTATTTTTTTAGTTGTAGTTGCATACAATACCTTTTTTATATGTGATGTTGAGGATCGAACTAAGAGCGTTGCACATGCTAGCTGAGCACTCTACCGCTGAGCCACAACCCCAGCCCCATCTGGTTTTTAATATATTCAGCATTGTGCAACCATCATCTTAATTAGCCACATGTTCATTGCCTCCAAAAGCTGTCATTCTGTATTTTCCCAAACACCTCCAACTCACTGGTTTGCATTCTGTCTCTGACAATATGCCTGTTCTGGAATTCTATATGAATAGAATCATATAATATATGGCCTTTTGTATTTGGCTTCTTTCACATAGCATAAGTTTTTCAAGACTTCTCCATGTTGTAGCATGTGTCAGTACTTCATTATTTTTTATTGTTTAATAACATTCTATTGTACTGATACACCATTCACCAATTGATGGACATTTATTTGCTCATCCAGTGGTTGATGGACATTTGGGTTATGAATAGGCCCTTGTGAATAATGAATAGTGCTTTTCATTATTTTGGGCTATGATGAGTAATTATGAATAATACTGCTATGGACACTCGTGTTCAATTTTTTGTGTGTTTCATTTATATGTTTTCTTACTTCCTGGCTATGTACCTAGGACTAGAATTACTGGAACATGTAATAAATATGCATCATTTTTTTTTGATGGGGCCAATTGATTTTTATTGCCATTAAATTCCACGTTAGAAGGTGCATGTGCATGAAGTTTCATATTTTAAAAGAGGTAGAGGTAGATGCATCTTGGACCTGTCTGAAGTCTTCATTTTTAAAGGTAAAAAACACATATTCTAAGCAAAATTGTACTATGTATCATCTTTTGAGGAATTGCCCTTCAGTTTTCCAAAGTGTCTGCACAATTTTGATTTCCCACCTGCAGCATATAGATGATTTAATTTCTCCACCCCCTCACCAACTCTTGTTACTGTCTTTTATGTGACAGACATCTAGGTGGGTGTTAAGTGATATTTAATTGTTGTTTTAATGGTTTCCTTGATGCCTAATGATGTTGAGCTTCTCTTCATGCATTTACTAGCCATTTGTAGGCCTTCTTTGCAAAAATGTCTATTCAGGTCCTTTGCCCATTTTTAAATTGAACTGATTTTTCTTTTGTCTCTTTATTGTTGAGTTATAAGAGTTCTTTCTATATCTTGGATATAAGTTCCTTATCAGATGAATAATTTGTAAATATTTTCTTCCATGCTTCCAGTTTTTCCACTTTCTTGCTGGTACCATTTGAAGCATGGAAGTTTCTAATTTTGATCAAGTCTGTTTCATCTACTGTTTACTTTTGTCACAGTGCTTTTGATGTCACGTCTTAGAAATCACAGCCAAATCTGAGGCCAGATTTTCTGCTTTGTTTTATCCTAAGAGTTGTGTAGTTTGGTTCTATGATCCATTTTTTGTTTATTTTCTACCATGATTTTTAAAATATATATACTGGACTTTGCTGTTTCAAGTGTACAATTCAGAGGCATGAATTACATTGAGCATGTTGTGCAACATCATCAAACTGTAACTGTCCTCATTAAGCAATAACTCCTCATTCTCCCCCTCTTCTCTGGCCCTTGGGAGGAACTGATTTTTTAATTGTATTTTATTTGAATGAGTTTAAAGGTAAATGGCTAAATGCAGCTAGTAGCTACCATATAGGACTGCTCTAACGTCCCCCCCTGGATGGATGCCTACCATTGTTGCCGGCTGGCACTGTGTTTATTATCCCATTCTCGGTCACCATGCTCTATTGTTCTGTAAAAACTGCATCATTCCCTTAAGAGCCTAGCTCACACCTCTGTATTCCCAGCTCAGAATCCTCCTCTGAGCTGGGAATGGTGACCTGTCACCATGTACACAGAAGCCCAGACACTTCACCATGCCTGTGTTGATCTGTTCCTCAGCCTGATTATACTCTTTTTCCTTCTTTCAGTATCTCTTGCCAGACTGGTCTCCATTTTGGTCTCTGAGCTCATCAAGGGCTGTCTGTATTCAGACTCTTAGCAATTTGTCTTCTGTCTGCATGGAACTCTCTTCTCTCAAAAGTCATTAACTCCCTCCCTCACGCCATTCTTGATGGTCATTTAACTTCCTTACAGCATTTTAATCTGCTTGGATGTTACCTCCCAATCTAAAATAGCCTCCCCCATCACTCTGTGTTCTATTACTCTGCCTTATGTTTCCTCATAGCACTTATTACACACAATGGTGTATTGTGTATCTATTTGTTTATCTGTTTATGTCCTGTCTCCTTCATTATAATGTGAGCTCCATGAAGACAGGGACCTTCTCTCCCCAATTAGACTTAAAGTAAAAATTTGTTGAGAACCTAAAATAATAAGGTTACTATTTTCAAAACTATAATCTCTGTTAGAATCAAAGAAATGACCCTCTGCCTAACCTCAAGTGTTTTGTTATTGAGGTACACCTTTAGAAGTATTTATTGCACTTTAGCCCTGTGTGGTAGCAAGCTCCTGTAATCACAACACACCAGAGGCTGAGGTAGGACAATCCCTGGGTCCAGGATGTTGAGACCAGCCTGGGCAACATAGTGAGAACCTGACTCAACAAACAAACAAAATGTTTTTGCACTTATTATTAAAACAATCCTAGAGCCAGTTACTGAAAAGCAAACCCCCACAGTTATGAATAACTATTTGCAGATACGGGTTGAGTGTCCCTTATCTGAAATGCTTTGGACCAGAAGGGTTTCAGACTTGAGATTTTTTTCAGATTTGGGAATCTTTGCTCAGAATTTAGTTAGTTGAGCATCCCCAAACCAAAATCCAATATTTTGTATCCGGATTTTGGAGCACTTCAGATTAATGATGTTCAACTTATACATTGTTTGTTGTCTTCCTGAGATTAGTTTAGGCTCTCCTTCACTTTTTCAATTATTTCTGCTCCTCCCGTTCTGACGAAGTCTTGTGTAAGCTTTCCTTCTTGCATTTACCATGTCTCTCCTAAACTTTGAGATGGTTCCTTTTGTGGCTGCATCTCTCTCTCTGCTCTCCCAGTGCAATTCTTTTCCTTCCCCACAGGAACTTCTCCATTTAGGACTGTACTTCATGCAACCCCAATGCCACGCTAGTGGCTAACCTTCCCCTGTCCACATCAGGAGAAAGCATGTGCCCTAGAGCTGGATTCAGGGACCCACCATTTCCAGATGCCACCATGACTCAACTGGATGATTACACTGTTTTAAGAAACAAAACAGATCTCGATTCCTTAACAAGGGTAGGATTTTTCAACAAGCAGATGAGTAAATCAGTAAGCCCAAATACATATGGATAGCAGCTACTGGGTTGGAAATTTGAACACAAAACCCTGACCATATACCTGACCACAGATCTGAATTTGAGTATAAGGGAGAATAAAAGGGGGTTTGTAGCGATATCCAAGGGAACCATTTCTGATCTTAAAATAGGCTTTTACTTCTCAGCATAAGAACCAAGACTTCTCAGGACAGGGCTATCTTAGCTGACATGAATTAGACAATTCTAAGAGAGTTCTGACTTAGCAGTTGTTATATTCCTGCTAATAGCCATCAGAAAGGGAGGGAAGGGAAAGGAAGGGAAGAATGTAAAAATTGGAAACATCTCTCACTTGTAATCCTCACAAATGCTAGACTCCAGTTTGTGTAGCTACAAAGGAGGACAGAAGCAATGAAAATTCCCCCAGAATAGAGTTCAGTCATTACAGATTGATTTTGTATCTGTGTGGCTCTCTTCTTTCATTGATGCACAATTCCAATTTAGCAAAACTTAACAATAAACAATAAATGAAAACTTGAAAAGTTTCCACCGCTGGAAAGATAGCCATGGTAGATAGATCAACATGTTCTTATTTCTGTCTTTAAAAAAAAATAATAATAAGCTGGGCAAAGAGAGATTGTAATCTTTATACAAATGTAAATTTTCGTGCAGATCAAGACTTGTTTTGTTTGTTTTGTTGGAAACATGATTTTGTTTGCTTCATTTGGAGAGAATACAATATAAAAAATGGAGTCACAAAAAGAAAGAGCAGTAGAATCACAGAAGATTCAATTTTGAAATGCCCTCCCATTTTGATACACGTTTCTAAAAGTTCCATTTTTATATTGTGGATAAAATATAGATTGCCATCTAAGATCTCAGAAGTTAATAACAGCTTCTTTATTTTTCAGATACTCCATTCAGCAATGGTCATGCCACAGACTATTTATTTGTTGGAAATATTGTTTACACGGTAAGTTCATCTCTTTTTATTGAGCCACTCCTAATGTAGGGGATACTTATCTAATCCCTTAGGTAAGGCTTTTCTTATTGTCATATTTCAAATGTTTATATATTATAGATTCCTTAAGGTCAGATGGTTGAGAAATGCTTACATTATTGTTTAGCAGAGAGTGTACTGAGTCGAAGTGTCTGGAGAGGTGATGAGCAGGAGTCCCCATTCTTCAAAAGACCTTTTACATCTTTAAAAGCAAAGAGTACTAAGGAAGATGGTTTCCCCAAAATCCTCTAAGAAAGGACAGAGCAGTTATTTGTGGGAAGAGACTGCGATGAGCACTTTCCTTGAATAAACCTGTCTGTTCATTCTGTTCATTTCCTAAAAACATCCCCTAGCAACTTAGCTACCAAGATGGTACCTTCAAAGTATGGTGGGTTAGAGGAACTGATGCTGGAGGGGAGATCTGGGATTTCTCCTAGAAAGTAAAAGTAGTGTGCTTCATTTTTCCTAACTCCTCTTTCTTTTCACAGTACGTTGTGGTTACAGTTTGTCTGAAAGCTGGTTTGGAGACTACAGCTTGGACTAAAGTGAGTCCTCTCTGGGATTGCTCCTCCCTCTGCAGTCTAGATAATCTTCATACTATGATTTCCTTTTAAGCATTGGGATAATTAATATCTAGCTATATTAAGTTTTGCATGTAAAAAATTGTGGTTTGATCTTTTTCAGGGCAAATTTTCAATCCAGTGTTTCCTGGTGCCTCATTTGCTAATATAGCTCAAAGCTATCATTAGTCACCTTATTTCAAATGTATATGCTGGCTTGCTGGAAACACACACATGCACAGAAAACACAAAAGAGAAAAAAAATGAAACTTTACATATTTTCATGTAATTTTACTACCAAGAGATAATCATGGGTAACACTTTATTCTGTGACCCTCCATACATTCTTCTGTGTGTTTTGAAATAGGCTGCATTGTAGAACATAGAATTTTGTGATCTTTCTTAAAATATATTTGGAACATTTTTATTCCTTAAAATATACTCCTACAAAAATCATTGTTCATGATTAAAGACAATGACATTTCATAGATATGTCCCATCTTTATTTAACCAGTTCCTTATTTTAGGTACTTTGGTTATTTCTAAGGTTTGGGGGTTATGACCAGTTTCTCATGTTTGTCACCCCTGGAGGGTCATGGCTGCAGCTTCAATAGACTCATCTGATGCTTTGCTAAGAAGGTGGGATGGGGTGGGTGGGAGATCAGTGTGGAGTCGGGGAATCTGTTAACACCTATTCCAGGGAGGGGCTGGCGACAGCCTGGAATGTTGGAGCAGAAGGTAGTAAGTCGTGGGTAGATTCTGGAAGTACTTGTTTTAAGGGAAAACAAAACCAAACAAAACCTTGCTGATGGATTGAATTGTGAGGTATAGAAGAAGAGGTCAAGGACCATAAGAGTACAAAGGAGACAAAAATAACCAACTCAGTAGATGCTTAAGGGGGTATTAAACTGTAATAGCCAGTTGATCTTGTAGAAACAAAGAGCAGAATAGGGGTTACCAGAACCTGAGAAGAGTGGAGAGGGAAGGAGAGGAAGGAAAGAGGATGGTCAACAGGACAAGAATGCAGTTAAATAGGAGGAGTAATTTCTAAGTTCTACAGCAAGCAGTCATTGTGGTTAAAAAACATAGATATATATTTCAAAACAAAAGATTTTGACTGTTCCCAACACAAAATAATGATGAATATTTGAGGGAATGGTTATGCCATTTACCCTCATCTGATCACACACATTATATACATGTACTATAATATTACAATATACTCATAAACATGTTCCATTATTAATGTCAATTTAAGACTTAAAAATTTTAAAGATGTAATATCATTTCAGGTGTCAAAAAAATCTCTTTTGCAAATGAACAGAACAATCAAAGTCTCCTAATGATAAATAAAAACTTCTTCTTGTTCATTTGTCTGTTCCACCATTCTCTCACTAGATCAATACCATCCCCAGGGGCAGCAGATACTTGAAATGAACTGAGCAAAGCCTGCTATAACTAGGGGATGTCTCAGAGGATGGTCAGCCGTGACACAAAAACACTTTGAACTTCAGGATAGCCACGAGTTAATTAAATTCATTGTTAAAAATTCTGAGACCAGGGAATAGAGTCCTCACAGTCTTTCCATCGGGAAAGGTGGCTTGGAGGGGGGAATTCTGCAGCAGGTGGGGTTGGGGTGGATCACCTGGCCAACAGAGGGACTATCTGAGCATCTGTCTCCTTTGCAGTTCAGTCACCTGGCTGTGTGGGGAAGCATGGTGATGTGGCTGTTGTTTTTTGTCGTCTACTCAACCATCTGGCCCACCATCCCCATTGCTCCAGACATGAGAGGGCAGGTCAGTACTATGAGCTATGAGTGTGCCTCCTATCTTCCATCAGCAGTGTTTTTATATATGTATGTGTGAGCAAGTGGTGTCTTGTGACAGTGAACTTCAGGAAGACCGTTGTTACCTGCTCCCATCAAAACTTATCAGAAGCACCAAATCAAGGTACCTGGGAGAGGATGTCCAGTCCATAGAACCGACATTTGAAATTATAAGTCATGAAATTTTAAGTCATCTGACTTGCCCCCCGCCCCCGTTCACATTTCCATAATAAATTATGTGTTCATTACATAGTACTTTATGTCTTTGGTTTGTAGCCCTTGGAAAAACCAGAGCTGTTTTGAGTTGTTCATAATCCAATGATTATTATCATAAGTTTAATGTTAACCACAGGATTAGCTGCTTAATTGGTAATTGGTCACCTGTGAAAGATAAATCTCTCTCCTAACCAGACTTTTAATGAGCCAGAATTTCTCATTTATCTCTTTGAACTAGGGAGGCTGAGATAGACAACTTATATTTGTTTGAATGGTTTTGAATTTTCTTTTGTATTATCTTTGTCCAGTGTCTGAGATAGACCTGCCAACAGTGACAACTGAATCACAGAATCCCACAGTACTGGGTTTGAAGAGGAAAGAGTTTAGCAATTCTTTGATACAAAATTCCTTCATTTTCAGGCAAAGCTATGCAAGCCCAGGTCTCCCAGACCCACTCTACCATCTCCTCCTTGGGGTTGTCTTCAGCTAGTGCTACCCTTAGACCTCAACAAGGGACTATCCAAGTCCTGAGCTTTAGGAAACTTCTGGAGCAGGCCTCCATGGTTGGGTGTGTGCCTCTTTGTGGAGTTAAAAGCCATAGTGTGCAGAGCCAGCCCCCTCTTCAGGTCCATTCTCTGGGCTCCAGGACTCTTGAGTTTCCTTCATGAATAGCCAGAAGACCACTGCCAAGCTCTCTGCCCGGGCCTCTCCCCAGATCCAAGCCAGCATACACTATCCTGAGCATCAGTCAGCAATGAGATGGTCACTGTTTCTGGCTCAATCTCAAGCACTGGACAACTGTTGGCAAGGGATATGCAATGAGTCAACCAGATGTTTGCATCGGTCTCTCCACACCTGGGTTTGCAGGAGCATGTTCATTCTGCTGTGGGACAACATCAAGAACTGTAGGTCAGGGGCTTCCATTTTGGTTTAGCCTCCAGAATACCTACTTTAGAGGAAGATTTGGATGCTACTTCTGCCTTACAGTAGATAGGAACAAAAATGCCTGGGTCTACCAAAGTCTAGATACATGTTCTATTGATGTCTAAGACAGCCCAGGTGGCATTGCTTGCCTTTTTACTTGGTAAATCAACTAATAACCCATGGTTTCTGGTATCTCCATGAGTGTGGGAGGCAAGCAAGCTGGCCCTGTCCTGCAGGAGCAGGCTGCACATCCTCAGATGCATTTTTGCTTTCTGTAAGGAAGAGGACAAATGCAGCACTCTTTCACTCCTTTTCCAATTCCAAGCGGTAGAGGAAATTACAGGGCATTGATTGAATGAACCCACAAGATTACTGTAAAGCAGAATGAGAATTTCCCAACAAAGATACTTTGTTCACTTAAAGACATCAACTCTATTGCAAAGCGTTGTGATTTGTCCCCCACAAAACAAACCCAGAAAAGAATCCAGTACTCATCGTTTGGTAAGTCACGGAAACTTAGAATATCTGCTTTGTATTCTCTCCTCCTGGGTAAGGGCGTGTCTACTCTGATTTCATTTGAAGAATTTTATAGAACAATAGATGGGACTGTGGTGGATTGTTACAGACAGGCTTCTAAATTAGAGAAGAGTGACAGCTGACAGGATGAGGTCAGTTGTGTGTGACTGGCGGGCAAAGCCATTCCTTTGAAAGCCCCTCTGTGTCCTCTACAGTGTTGTTCTAGCAAACCCCTCTGTGTACAATTGCTTTGTGTCTCCAATTCCTGTGTGCATGAATTAGGCTGGTTGTTGACTGGCTTCCATCAATCAGTTGACGAACAAACTGCAGAGGGGCCAGGATTATCATGCAGCCCTGTAAGGTGTCCACATTCTTACTGAACAAGTCACATGAACTTGCCAGTCTGGGTGGTTCCAAGGCTCAGCTTAAGGATGACATTTACATACACTCATGTGCTGCATAATGATATTTCCACCAAAAACAGACCCTGTACTTTCATGGGTGATTCCACATGATTATATGACCTCGTGATATTATAGGCGTCTTAGTTTGTGTAAGTACCTTCCATGATGTTCCAGTAATGGGTAAATTGACTACCAATGCATTTCTCAGAATGTATTTCCATCATTAAATGTCTTTGTGGACTTTCCAGTAACAATTTAGAGAGCTGTTCTATCATCCAAGAGCAAAGGAGTGATCTTATTATATTTCACTTTTGTTTAAAAACCCTTTTTCCTCCCATTGAAACCATGAAATTTTTACCTTTTTGTGGGTTGATTGGTTGGCTTCAACGGGAAGCAAATGATGGTGTTTTGAGACAGACATACCTGGATGAGACTAAGGTTTCCATTAACATTTGGGCGAGAGGATTAATTAGTTTCCGTCATTTAAAGAGCTGTTTATCATCTGTAGTCTTCCTCCAGGGTGAGTGGAAAAATGGTGTCAGAAAACTATATATGACTTCCATATCCTGACTGAATTTAGTATTTTTACCTTCTGTCTGCCACTCTATTTTGATTCAACAGCTTGCTGATTCTTTGAAAAGTGGCAATAACTGTTAAACATTTTATAACTTTTTTGAATAATTGCTTAAGAGGAGAGTAGCTAAAAGTAGTCTCAGGAAGGCTTCATGCCATTCTAGAAGGAATTGAATGGTGTTATAAAGAAAGCAAGCAACTGGCCTCTGGTGTCGTTCATAAAAGGAATTAGCTGCTTTGGGAGAACTATATGACCAAGCTATATCCATTCCTTGGGTTCTAGGTTGGTGAATGCTTAGAGTGAAGGGTATTCTTGGGCAAAGACTGCTTTTGAAAAATTACTATGTAAATAATGATTTTAGTGATTTTTTTACAAGCCATTTTTTATTTGACTATGCAATAGGGTTTTAGCAAATGAAAGTGGTTCCTTGAAGCTCTAGAATTAAAAAGTGTCTAAAGGCAAATGGCATTTTGTACCCAAGAGCCCCAGAGAGACTTGACACAAAAACATTCTGTCTATTCATAACATCTTCAACCTTGAAAAGATGCATTGTGTTCTGCCAGAGCTTCCTAAACTAATGTGATTAAATATTTCTTTGTCTAGTCCATTATATTTGGAGTTTTTCTCACGTGGGGGAGAGTGCAGGTTTTCCCTTGAGGGCAAAGGAAAGGAAGGGCTGTAGAATTAAATATTTGTTCTCCACTCTCAAAGAGTTTCTATCTGCCCCAAGGCACCTCATGATATGGTATGTAAAGCCCCACCAGACAAAGAGCCAGGAAGTCCCAGTGGAAGTTTTTGAAATGAAAGAAGTCATGTGCACATTTCCTCTCCTAAAAATGTGCAGCATTTATGGGGTTTTTAAGGGACACCCTGTTTTCTACAGAAAGTTAAAAACTCAGGTTATGTCCATCCTGGTTAATATAAAGGTCTTCAGCTATGGAAAAGAGATGATGATGCTTTCCACTAGGAGACCATGTGGGTTTCTTTCCCCCAGGAGAATAACCATGCCCATGGGTTTCTCCTTAAGGGTGTAAAATGTCTCAAAATGGAAAATAATAATATGGTTGTTGGCATATAGCTTTGAAATGGAGAGATGAGGAGGACTGGATGGAAAACCAGATCAGGAAATGTGCTTTTAAATAAAAAAAAA